TATATATATATATGTCGGATATACAAATTCCTCGCCTTTGATGCGGAAATAATATCATAATAATTGCTCACCTAGAATGCGAACGTGACAGATATCAGGACGTTGTAGAATTCCTACCACGAAATAAGATGTACGGCCACGATGAGAATGTATATCCTCAATTTTGTTTGAGTGGATCCTTTAAATATCTCGAGAATTCTGCGTATCTAGGACTTCGAAACAGAGGTGGTAGCGATAACGGCCGAGATTCTATGAAGAGCACTGAAGATAAGCAAAACTCCGTTCGGCATATTTGCAAAGAATCGAGATCCATTAGATATCATCGAAATTGCGTCTCGAAAAAGTGCACATGTTGCAACAGACTCCAAGAATCGCGCGAACGTCGCGTCGAAAATCAAAATTTGCAGCACGCGGCTGTCTGTTACGAATCGTCTGTAACTACTGATTGCCAGACGATTCGCGCAGACGTATCGGATGTCTCTCGTAATAACCCGCCACATCATGAACTCCAATCGAGTATATCCATTCCTAAAGATCACGAACAAAAAAACACGTCCAAGCAAACGAGATCTCGCGAGAAAATAGAAGCGGACGAGAATTCCGAGTGTGCAGACGGCGCGAGAACCGAAAGAGACTTGATGTCGGAGATTGCGGAGATCGCGCACGCGACGCGAGTACTTTCGACGGATCCCACGGTTCATTTTTCGCGAAACAACCCGGACGAACCGATAGCGTCGACTTCCAAGTGTGAGACGCCGTTTGTACCATCCGTAAAATCGCAAAAGAATCGTCCCGGTTCGAGATCAGCATTTTGCAAGACGGCGATGAAATTCTCGAGGAAACGCCGGCCGATTGTCGATAATAAAATCATCGCGCCATTTAAACGGAGTAGAAGGAACATCGGAAGGAAAGAGCCATCGAGTGCTAATACTCACGATAGCGAAATGAAGATTACGCAAGTAGAACCGTCTACTGTGCAAATCACTCGAGAAGGCAATAAAAAGCGGATCAACATAAACGTTCGACTGCAAACAGCCGACGCGATTGTTGCGAGGATTTTATCGGAATTCCTCGGTGAGACGAAGAAAAGTATGTTGATGAGCATAACGTTAGAATCGGAGTCGGATCACGATGTTTTAGATAGAAAAGAGGTAGAAACGCAAACATCGTTGAATGACATTACTTTTGCGGGGACGGATGTATTTCGCTATACGGACAGATGCCCTCAAGCTACGATCGCGGCCACGTCAAAGATCGTGCAATGTTTTGTCTGCGATAAACGAGATTGTTACGAAATAAAACGATCAAATGACTCAATCACTTTAGAAGATGCATTAGTCGCCGAATATCCAGAAAGGTCTGAATTGAATGATCATTTTGCGGAACGAAAAACAGATATCGAAATCCCTCCATAATTTATGCCTAAAGGATTTTCTCAACAGATGCTCTCCTATAAATGAATAGATCTATAGTCGTAAAGTGAGCAATTTTTTTCAATAACAATTGCGATATATTAAAACCTGCGTTTATCAGATTTTCGGTATAAATCGAATTCAACAAATTTCAGGTATCGACAAAAAAATTCGCAACTTCAGATATTTCAAATTCTAGTATAACCTCGTTTTTTTTCCACGTGTGCTCATATTTTTCATGTGTCTGTCTTTGGCTATGTGTAGCGCCAAAAATGTATTCAATATATGTGTGTAGGTGCGCACATGTTATCAAAATTGCTATCTGAATCGAAATTTTAATTATTAATAGCAACGCAAACAAATAAGTTAATTATGAATAACCTCACCTGAAAATTATGAAACTCAAATTTACATCCAAAATAATGTCCTTATTCGGCTTAAAGGGAAATTGCAATTTAGCGTATTCAATATTAACTATTGACATATTCAATTGAGTACAATTAACATTAACAATATTAACGAGACTGCTATATTTTATATCATTAATATTATTGTACAAATCGAATAAATATATTAAGCACCGCAAATATGGCAAGTGATCAAAATGAAACCGGTGAAAGAGACCGTATTAGACAAGCAGATTGTTTTCTTTATTGCAATATCCCAAATGCAACTGGCCAAAGCTTGTCAATGTTCAATCAGCCAGAAAATCAAAGGCTCTTTCACAAGACATTGGACGATTTATTACATTCCACACAGCAAATGGTGAAGAACAACAAACAAGTGGACTTTATTATAAGAGATTTAAGTATCAGTACTTCTTCTAAACCTGAAGAAAAGATTTCATTATCATCGATTATAAATAACACGATTATACCTGACACAAAGATCGTTGATAGAATCAAGCAAAGAATAATCGACACGATCACGTCTACCGGCGAAGATTTCGATAAAGCGTGGCGTGAAAATTTTTCAAGCATCGTAAAGGACTTTATTCACGACGTATCTCTTCGACATGCGGACTACGCAGATAACGCCGTTCCGGAGCGTGTCTGCAACCCGCAATGCGTTGGTACCGGGACTCAAAGCGGTATCGTGATCAAAAAATTCAGTTCGGAAACAAGACTCGATGCTTTCGCGAAGACATGCGAAGAGAGGCGGCACGCGAACCTTATTCTCGACGAGATTACAAGAATCTTTGACACTTTGACGTCAGCTGGACGCGAAAAAACAGATTCAAGCTCGCGCGTAACATTGACGGCGGATAAGATGGAAGAGGAAATATTGGAGAAAGCGAAATCGATTATCTACGCGCAAGAGAAACCGAGCACTGTAACGATGGAGGCCGTTCGGTCGACTACGGTCGTAATACAGCGGAAGACCTTCGTGGATTCGCGGGTATCAGTATCTTCGATTCACTTTGTCCAGGAATCACAATATCCTTTGACATACTTAGATGTAACAGATGAATTGCGCGAAGCTGCAGTAGTCCAAGTAATAGGAAAACCTAGTAAAGGTGGAATCGCGCGTCAAGTATCGAGCATAAGCTTAATTTCAGATAAACGTGATTTTCAGGATGCTGCAGTTATAGCTGGTTTAACAACTATTGTTGTTAAAAGTGAGAAAGAAAAACAGGAAGAAAAGAGAAAAGACGATACGATTTTTTTGCGATCAATACTAGATACAGTTGCTTTTGCTCTTTTCCAACATATTGCAATTATAAGCACTAAAGATGCTAAAGTTGTTAAAGATGATAAGAAAGATGAGAAAGAGAAAGATATTCAAGTTGCTAAAGTTGCTAAAGTTGCTAAAGTTGATAGAAAAAAAGAGGAAAAGAAAGATGTTAAAGTTGCTATAGATGATAGAAAAGAAGAGGAAGAGAAATATGTTGAAGTTGCTATAGATGATAGAAAAGAAGAGGAAGAGAAATATGTTGAAGTGGCTAAAGATGATAGAAAAGAAGAGGAAGAGAAATATATTGAAATTGCTAAAGATGAGAAAAAAGAAGAGGAGGAGGAGGAAGATGTTCTTGCTGTTGTTGCCGTTCTTGATGTTCCTGTTGATACGACAATTGAGACCACGACTGTTGATTCTCCAATTATAGATACTACACAGGAACCGAAAGAGGATAGTAGTAAGATTGTATCTTTGAAGTATAAAATGCCAAAATACCGCAGCATCGATTCATTAGATTTGAGCCATATTTCAGAGACTCTCATTAAACACGACTATATTACCACAAAAAAAGAAAAGATGCCACTATGTAAGAAAATACGACATCCCGATGTCTCGACGTGTACATTCTTCTCATTCACATCGTTTGAGCCAACAAGAAAATTTTGTTGTGAAAGACCAGTGATGAAAATGTGTCCGGTTGATCGAAGCAGGTTACTGAGAATTTTACAGCCAATAAGATGTTGTAAAAGTTTAATACCAAGTAACATCTATCTCGGGAAACCCAAATACTGTAATATTCGGACCACCTCGTACTTTAACCCGCAGATTGCAGTTACACGGGAAGCTACTTTAAGTAACGTTCTTCGCCCCTCTCTGCAGGATTCGCGCGCAATCGGATACCATGTCAGCTGTCGTGCATTGACCGACAATAAGAACGCTTCTCTCAGACATTGTAACATCAACTGCTGCAGGAAACATAGACCAATATTCGAAAACTCGTTATATGCGACATACGATACGCGTTGTAAGGTTGGCATGAAATATTATTATCCGCGTTTAAATAATATCGGTAACATTCGAACGGGCTATTATCATTGCAACAATAATTGTCCAATATGGAACAACAATCGACACTGCGAAAGGAATCAATTACATCAATGGTCGACGAGGGGTAATTTATATTTTATACATCCATGGACATCGAGGCATTTGTCGCGATATAACTGATACTGATAATATTGACATATATGACGTTCAACTTGACTGAATAATTTGAGATCAATCGCATCGGCAATATAAAATTAACGTACCGCAGCTTCGACCGCTTCATCGTTTACATAATTTTTCACTGCGATCAGACTTATGTAAGGCAGGTCGGATATTATGATGGAGGCTATGAAAAATTGAAATGGATAAATGCATGACGTAATCTGTATCGCAGTTCGTATTAGTATGACGCGCGTCAATCCTAATTATATATACTACGTACTAATTTTAGTTATTAACCCGCTCGCATATGGCAAATAGAGTTTTGCGCCCTGTCGGACGTGTGTGTGCACATGCATATTAATAATTAAAATTAATAACGCGCTAAATATAGTTACAATATACGCGCAACACTCGACACATTGATGTCGGACGACAAGACAATGTATCGTACGATATATATTAACGCGGACAGAGAGTGATTATGCGAGTTTGCACAGGAGTTTATATTATGCATTATGACAACTAATTTATAATATAGTTTACTAATAATGACAAATTGCTTGTGGAGCTACAGTTGGAAAAATAGCCAAATATAAGAGAAATATATGCGGGTCACAAGGGAACGTCTAACGGAAAAATGGCCAGTCGCAGAAGGCGACGGGGGTCGAATGCAGCGGTGAAGATTGCTCGATGGTTTTTTTCGTCCGCTCGCAAATTTACTTTGCTACAGTTTCGAAAGAGTTTGTGAGAAGAAATCGGCGTGTGTGCGCGGAAAATCGTTTTACAAAAAAAAATGCCGAACAATGCCCGAAAAGAGCTCGCGGGCAGTCGGAGAACTTTATATCGTGACGGGAACGTTGTTATATTCTAAAGCGGTCATCGCGGTTGGCAATTGCGGTTAGAAGAAGCTTCACGAAAGTTCGCGAAGTTCCTCACCTGCCGGATGCACTGCCGACGAACCTCGAAAATCGACCAAGAAACGGAAGCTATGTGTTTCTCTCATCGGATATTATACATTATTTGTTCACACAGTACGTGCTAATAAAATAATTTTCTTACCAAAAAAAAACTAATTTCACAATTTCTTACAATAAAAGAAAGTGAGAGTATAGTAAAATTTTCAATTTTCTTAAAAGTTTATAAACACATTACGCTGTTTGATTATTTCTACGATTCTTATTCTCAAACAGATGCATGATACGATCAACGATCGAAGGATTCATGCGTGAAAGCTTACCTCGAGAGGATCTCACGTCTTAAGCAGCCTTTGTGCTCGGAGAGTCCATCGAGACGAAAACTTCGTCGAAGTTCGTGGCAATCTGCTTGGCGAACTTCCCGGGTGACCAAAATAAGAGGGGGGGGGGGTCTAAACTAGTCTCTTCCCGACAACCAAGTACATCATGAGCCACACAGGCAGCATTAAGCGCATGTCTACCGCTGGAATAAGCGTCCCGGTCGTATAACGGGTAGCTTTATGTAATGACAAGACTCAACGTCATTCTGGCGGATATATCAGACAGGCGACGTCGGAAGATTTACTATTCAACTTCGACGTCTCGCACAGCACGGAACTTCCTGCGGAGGCAAAGGAAGCGCGATAAACGGCTCGACGAAACGGCGCACCGCCATCTTCCGCGTTAAGGTATTCGAGAATGCTGATGTCGACAACAACGCCGAGAAGGGTTGCTGGAGAACCGAGTTACTTCGTGGACGATGATAATGACAATGTGGAAGCTGGGGACTCGTGGGAACGCGACCGTGCTGGATCGCGCAAAGTAACAGCGAGGAAACTTGATAGCGTCATTCTTCGCAAAGGTACACTCGATAAAAAACTTTAGCAAAAAATGATCGAGGAGAGCGCGAAGGATCCCGCGTAATGCTCCTCGACGTCTCTATCCATCGTCTTATCATGCTAAGTCGATTAAACACGGGCGACAACACGCTGTTCCTCCCTCCCTTCCCCTCCTTTACCCGCTGTCGTGCCTCGTGTATATCGTGGCTCATCGTCCGCCGGCGTGCAACACGGCCGTGTATCCACCGCTGTCTGACCCACCTCCGTGCAATCTGCCGTCGTGTAATCCGCCGGCGTGTAAACTACCCTTGTGTAAACTGTCCCTGTGTAAATCACTGCCGTGTCCAGCGCCATCGGCCCGCCGCCATCGTCGTGCGACACGTCTCACGTCGTGTTCAACGTCTTTGGACCGTTCAATTCCGTCCAAGAACCGGTCTCCTGTCGAGGAACTCTGTATTCGATAGCCTCATGAAACAAGCGCGATGAGAGACGGGTCAATGGCGGTGAAAGGACTGCTCGTTAATTTGATCAAGGTTGAATTAAATGCGGATTGTGTTGCAATGAAATTAAGAAGAGATCTTTCTTGTGAGTAAATGATGCATAAAAGATATATGCATAACTTATATAATTTTTATACACTTATTTATATTTTGATTCTTTAATCATTTATTAATGTTATATCTGAAATTATATTTTGCCTTCTTTCTTCTGTATCTCATTGATTTTAATACCTTTTTAATTAGGATAACTTATATTAAATTGTACGGTATAATTGTTTTGCTCTCGCTTTTTATCGTCTCAGAAGAGAGAATAAATTTCTTGACTTGTTCGCTTATTTATCTCTAACGCTTGCGGAAGTAATATAGAACGCCACATGTATCTTTAAATCCTGTTAAATATAGATGACCTACAAAAGTCTTCCTTCTTGCGGAGGATGCCGCGGTCAATCGTGCAGAAAAATATATAGTCGCGCGAGTACCAGTAGCGGAAACATGCTGCTCACCGAGAACCATTGGGAAGCAGTCCGGAATACTGCGGCTGTTGGAAATCCGAGCTGCGGAGGATGCTGCTAATGATTCACCGCTTTAAAGATGCCCGCGTCCGCTGCACGCTCAAGAAATTAATAAATAAAGCAGTTTCCGCAAGACATAACTGACAGATTTATTACTTCCGAAAACATGCAATTTGCTTTGTTAGACATATAAACATCTTGCAACGCTTATAAACGCTTTAATGTTTGTTTATTAACTGCAAACCAATAATGGCGTCTTAAGAACAATGACAATTAACCTTATTTATTAACGTAACCTGAATTAATATGAATTAACGTTAAACAGTGCTAAAAATTAACGTGCTAAAAAATTATATCGTGAACCAGCGAAACATAGAAAATGAAATTATCTAGTTGTTTGTTAATCGTGTTGCGTTGGCCACAACGCGTGCTCGGGATCGCGAAACTATCCGCTTTCGAATTTCTTAAGGCCATACAACCTGATCTATCGAATAATCAGCTGCTAGATCGGTTGAAAAAGCAAAACGAAAACCTCGACGAGATCCTCGCGGAGCATCATCGGCAGGTTGCCTGCGAGAGAGACCTTGCGCGGGTCCTACATAGTCTCGACATCGGTTATCGCATCATAAAAAGGTAACATTTCTTGCGAAGTTACATTGTGAATTAACTCTGTCCTTATCGTAAAGCCTTCTCTCTCCTCAAAGCAAAAACCTGCAGCATAACTCTTGAGATTGGTGCACCATTTCTGAAATTTCTAACAAAAATCATTATAAATAAAATTATCAAGTAATTAAATTGGAAACTTTTATCTGTGATTAAACAGAATAGGCGACGCGAGCAGATGCGTAGATTGGGCCGATTTGATAGTCGCGATCGGTGGAGATGGCACTTTTCTCTTAGCCTCAAAGCTGATAACGAACAATGTGAAACCAATATTTGGCATCAATCCGCACCTCGAAACTTGCAGTAGTTTTACGCTGCCAATAAAAAACAGGTCAAACATCGTGCAGATATTCGAGAAATTGCGTACGGGAGATTACACCCTGCTGATGAGAAGTCGCATACGTACAATTATGACAGGAGAAGGACTTTATCGGCAACCTTTTCATGTGCACGAGAAAAGCCGTACACGAGGCGAAAGAAGAATCGAGTGAGCGGATTAGCATTTAGCTTTGCTTTCTTTGGTAGATAAACGGATTACGTAACGCTCCAGTCAACAGGGCTTATATCTTACTTATCGTTGAAAATAACACCCTCTTAAAGAAAGATTCATACTGTGCAATTATTTATCTCGTCTGTTTTTCACGACGCGATTGTACTCCACATTTTACCTGTGAAATTTTCCAATATTCCTTTATAAAACTCAACCCGGAAAAATATTTCTCTCGAAAATACAGCCTTCGTTTGAGTCGCGAGAGCGAGTTAGAATGCGTTATGGAATAATAATATTAATAAATCTAGCACGCCAAAGCGAACAGAGGACCGGAGGACGAAAAGGGACTTACGAAGCACGACGAGCGTTCCCTTTATTCGCGAACGCTCGAAAAAAAGTAAATGTCTTGGAGGCGACATTAACGTAACGTACCGTTTGCAGAAAGGTAAGGGCTTGAACGCTTCTTGATAGCCAGGGAATGGCTTTGCAAGCGCGGCTGCATAGCGAAACGAGGAGTAATAAGGTTGACAAGGGAGAGACGCACGCGCGCGTAACCGGACGAGAGAAATGTCCCGTATAATTCCGTTAGTCCTCCCCTTCCTCTCCGTAAAAGCCCGTCCGTGCTAGATGGAGAAACATTAAAGCACCGTCGAGAGAATGGTATTCCTCCCTCCCTCCTCATTCTCTAAACTTTTATTTACCAGCTACTCTCACGCGATGCGCGGTCCAAGTTTGAAATAAGCGGTGAGGGTATCGCCTTCGCGAGGACATTGTAATGCGTCTTCATTGCGTTGCGAAATGTAGCGCACGCGTGTTCTAACTTCGGCAGTTACAACTTGTAAATTACAAGGGTCACGTATAATTGTAACTCGCACGCATAAGGAGGTCGTAACTTTTGAATTTGTGGGTCAAGCGATTTTTACGAGATAACGCGATGCGCGTGATAAAGCGTATCGATTAACTGGAAAAGATTACTCGATAAGGATTAATTCGGCGATTAATTTAATTAAATTTAATTCGACGTTCTTGACGGAAAACAATACAACCGTCGCGCATTTGATATTCCATTGCGTCTCCAAGTAGTCTCTTTCTATCGCTACGTCGCTCTCGCGTCTCATTAATTCCTTTGCGCGACGTTTCTCCAAAGGCGTGCTAAACAAATGAAATCTTTGCAGCGCACTTATGAGATCCACTCAGAGGAAAATAGCAGATGCCCTGCAGCCCCGCCGGAGAATCCTGCCTTGGCTGGCATTAAACGAGGTTCTGAAATGTTAAAGCGTTTCTATGCCGGTGCACCGGTTGATACCGTTCATCGCTTTTAGGTATTCATGGCCGAATTTTTTGCGTCGAGACCGATCATCCTGACAATCCAGGCCGACGACGAAGAGACCATTACGACCCGGTCATCGGGTATCTGCGTTTGCACGGGCTCAGGCTCTCATTCCTGGTTCAGAACGATGAATTTACAGTCCACCGAAACCGTTCAAATGCTTGCCGCTATGGCAACTGGCAAGCAATTCGATGGGACAAAGACTGACGAACTGTTGCTCAAGTATCACAATAACCTTCTCTTTCCCCCAGGTAATCCTGCTCTACGCCCAATCGATACATCTTTCGAATAACATTCTTCTAATTCTAACTAATTAATGAAGATTAACGATGATATAGGCCAGCAAGCTGTTCCACAGCAAAAATATCACATTATAAACACACTAAATATACTGCATTTATATTACAGAAGCTTTAAAAATGGCATATATGATATATGAGATGTATCGCAGCTCGCGCTGCTCAAAGTCCATTCCAGAAAGGCAAATGTGCAATAAGGTCAAGATTAAATCGAAAGGTTTCGACGCCGGTCTTGTTCTCGATGGATGTGTGTCTTTACCCTTCAACGACGGCAGCACTGCAACTTTCGAGATTCAACCTGAATTTTCATTGAAAAATATTATTTTGTCATAAATTTCATATAATAATTATATTACAACTCTCATATATTAATAATTACAATTCTCTATCGCGTTGCATAATAAAATTAATCTACCTTTTAATAACTTGCTCACGATAGCTTAATTTATATGAAAAGACTAATTTATCTCAGTTCTCGGAAAAGAGCAAAAGTATAATTTCTTTTAGCACATTGTGCTGAATCTAGGATGACATAAGACGAACACGGACTAAAAGACCCTCCCTCAAGCCTACGGATTTATCGCGCTCGGCGACGACGGACGGCTTAGTACATTTTGTTTTCAGCGGCGAGAGAAATGGACCACCTTTTTCCCGGAGCGACCTACAAACCGAGACCCTTCGCGATTCTCCGCGCACTTCTTTCCCTGCTCGGGAACGCGCTCGAACAACCCTCGTCCGGACTTCCATTAACCCCGTAATTTCGGTTTTCGCCGAACCGCAGACACTCCTCGCGCACCTTGTCACGCGGATTGTATCTCTGAGTTTCACAAGCGAGCGCGTACCTATCGTCTAAGTGCATTGTTCCACTCGGTGCAAAAGTTGCGGGCGCTCGAAACACAAGATATCGCGCAAAAATACCCTCAGGTAGCTAGGTGAGCGCCGACGTATTCGGGCACATAGCGCCGCGTAAAGTAACCGTAAAAGAGTTGCGCGAGAACGTAAAAGCCTCGTGTTCCACGTCCGATCCATTGCCGGAAACTTTAGTTTCATTGAAACCGAGGGCGAAAGAACGAGCGTCCTTCGCCAATTGCGCTTCGGAAGAATTTCCCAACAGCAGTATTTCTCAATCGTTTTTGTATCACCCGTATAAATAGCAGTTTGCGCGGTTGGACGAGAAACTAATCCTCTTAAACTTGGTCTACTTATTGGAAGGAAGGAAAGAACTGAGTTTTTTGCAATTATATTCCTACACGTCGACAATTTTAAAATTCTCAACGCAAATGAACCTAATCTATTAAACATTGATTATTCTGTACACATTTTTGTACTTACAATTACTCACGTAACTGTGCCTGGTATTTTTTTTTAATTTCTTTTAACGCCGATTGTCACACGAACACGTGCTACGGGCGTGAGAAAAAAACACGGTATTAATCGATCCGAGTGGGCTTCCCAATCGGATTTCAGTGAACGGCCGAACCATTCTCATTAATCCTCGCGAAAGCCCCAATCTGTAAGAACAATGGTGATCCATCGCAGACAGTCTCATGGAGGACAAACAAATGTACGGGCAAACGGGAATAACGGCCGATGTCGACCGACCCTTTGTACTTCGTAATTGAACGTCGTCGTCTTCTGCCGAAGTTACCAACGGCCGACATTTCGACGAAGATCCAGTTTAGATGAAATCGGACGGAAATCGCCACGAATTTTATATTCTCGGCTATTATTGAATTTCCGTGTATAACGAACGCGTTTCTTTTATTTTGAAAATAACGGCCGCTTGTTTTGGCGATAACGCGAGCAACGGATATCCTTTTGGTATCAATTCGTTATCGGTATCACGCGACGTAATTAATTAATAATCCTCCCGATAAACTGCGTAATAGTGATTTAAAACAAACGAACACAATAGAATGCTTTAACAACCAATGATGCGTCATTATAAACATATTAATGAAGCAAAGCGTTAAAACGCGGGATTATCGCTCGAGGCACCAAGCGACGCGGAATGCACGCGCGCTCGGTTACGCGAACGATATGCGCGTAAATATATGTATACGCGCGAGTTTATAAAATAAATAATACTCCTTTTGCGATATATACATATATATATATATGTATATTTATACGTACGACGTATTCGCGCGTGTAGGCAAACTCGCTGCGCCGTTGTGTAATCGCAAAAATCAATATTATCACTGCGGATTGGGCCGCGCCTCACTTCCGCCATCCAGTACCAAAATTGTACCGTTTTTTTTTTGCTCTCTTTCTCTCTTTTTACTCTTTTTGGCCCTTTCGAGCCGTATAAATTCGTCAACCGATGACCGGTCGCGGCCATTTACCCTTATCCGAAGATTTAGTTTCCTTCGAACGAACCGACGGTGGTAATGGCGGTTCGCGAGATTTATTAGCGGATTCATGGGCAGAACGTTAATTCGTGCCGAAGAGACTGAGAGACGGATACGAGAGGAGAACCGTTTGCGGAAAATGGCGAATGGAAAAGAAGAACGGGAACAGAAGATGGTAGAAGAGCGGCAATCTCGATGTAAGTACGATGAAAACTACGAAATGGTTAGCGCAGAATGAAAGAGATAGAGAGAAAAACAAAGACAGAGAGAGAGAGAGAGAGAAAAGGACCACTGAATCCTCCCATAGAGTAAACCGAATGAGAGGCGAATTGGCGGATGTACCTTTTCGCATGGCAACGCAAACGCGCTATCTCCTTTTTTTTCTCTCTGGCTTTAATCCCCGCGCCACGCTAGTTGTAATTTGATCCGCCTTTGTAACGACCCGTGTGCCCTGTGTGCATCGTCCGCTTCCGTTTTGCGCGCAGGGAAACGTCGCGCTCGCGGTGACCGCTGCAAAGCGTAGGCGGAATAATGACAGTTAATGAAAATATGAAAGGCTAACACGCGCGGATACGGTTGTGCGTCGGATCGCAACGCGATGTAAAGTGGCGAAAGAGCGGGAAATAACGGCGGCGATTAATCGCCGCGTCTAATGCGCTTTGATCGGTCCACTTTGTCATCCACTCTCCCCGCGTTTCGTTCGAGCCGCGTAAAAATGGCTGCGTCGTTGAGCTAGTCGAGGGCCATTTGCACTATCGCTTTGTCGATATCGCGAGGATGACGATATAACTTTCCGTTATCGCGCTGAAAAATAAATTGGATAATAATATGAGATGCGATGAGAGATTTTATTTAAGAGGACTCCGTCCTTCGACTATCATCTCTATTTAATTCTCGATATTATGCTATACGCCCTTGCCAAGTCGATCTGATGGGACATTCCGGAAATTCGAATGAAAGCTTTTCCCGCAATAAACTGGATCCGTCGTCAAATTTGCTTAGCGTATCAAGAACCGCCCACGCGCACACTCGACTGCCGCCTCCATTCTAAGCGGAGCTCATACCGCGGAGATTTTTCAACTATGAGAAATGACCGTAACGTGCGCTTTATAGTTACCGGAGTCACGTGCAAACGCTGCGTTCCACGGCCTTCATAATTAGGCGATAATTTATCGGGGGAGGAGTTATTTCGGCGCGTCGCGACACCCCGTCGACGGAAGCGGAAAGGAGAATGGAACAAGGTA